TAAATAGGGAAAAATCTTGTAGCTTCACAAACTCATCAATCTTCCTTGCATACATAAGAGCCATGACTGATAAGCCTTACCAAACTGCACACTGTAAACCTAACTTTCCATAAGAACGCATATAGAAGTCTTGCTGACATCTTGTGACTTTAATGTAATGCAAATTATGCAATATATAAGTAATATGCACACATATTCCACTTCAAATGATTTCTTTATTAACTTAAGACATTTTACATCGAACTTGATTTAGAATTACTTGAGAAGCTTGACCTTATATATCCCTTATTATAGACATATGCCACTTGAGGATGAACGGTCAATGTAACACACTTTCATATGCATCAAAGAAGCACTATCTTTCTCTTGAAGAAATTTTAAACTAATTGTTGCCAATTACGGAAAAACATATCTAAGTTGGTGTTTAAAACTATTTTCATATCGCTTTTGGTTTGTAATAAATGGAAAACATAGCAAGTAGCAACAAAGGAGAAAACAAGTAGAAAGCAAGGAAGACACCATGCATGACAAGGGAGACAATGAACGTTAGATACTTCACATGTTTTGTTAATATTTATCACCACTTCATTCGAGACAATTCCAAAATTAAAAATTTATCCTTGGCATAAATATAAATTTAGTTAAAACGAAAATTTGAATGTTTTGACTTAAAGAAAAAAACTGGGAAGTCATCTAAACATGCATAAAGCACTTTAAGCACTATAAATTCCCTGAATCACGATGGTGGAATCATCCTTCTCAGACAAACGCATCTAAATCACTTCCTGGATCCAAAATTACTTAGCATGTTCAAAATTGCTTTAAGAATCGAAGATGATGGAATACGCACAATTTTGAAAATTGTGTCCCTATTGTCGTTTTGAGAATTGGGTTTAAGTAACATTCATTGTAAAACGGTTATTTGATTGAATACAAATTTTACATTCAATTCCAAAAAATAAAATAAAAATAAAATTGGGTTTAAGAACATGTTCATAAATCAAGAAAAAAAACCCACAAGAACAAGTTCTTAAATCAAGAAACAACCCCACAAGAATATTCTCACAAGATTCACAAGTTGATCACATGGAATCAATAATATATAAATTAGATACCATCTAATTGTAGTAAAATACACATTAATATGTATAAAATAGACTAAATTATACATATAAATATATACCTCATGGAATCAAAATCTACGAGCATACAATATAAATAATCTGTACAGCAAGCAACAACTAGTCAATAGTGATTGGAAGGTCATGAACAGTACTCTAGCACGATCCATGACTATGCACAGAGATATGATCATATGAAGCAAATGAATTAAGAGACTAAATAACGGATTAAAAAGCTTAATGACGAACAAGAAAAAAAGGAAAAAGAAAACCACATATAATATTAACTTAGATCAAAAAAATTAAGGATTTAAAAGAATTAGGACCAGCCTAAGAAAAACTAGGTTAACATTAATGGTCCCATGCTAATCTCCCTTAACCACGCCTTAAAGTCATAGATTAAAGATTTTTCGATACTAATGATCTCATAAAATATAAAAGTTCAACAAAGGAGAGAAAAGCAAATTCGCATGCAATTAGAAACCAAATCTAACACGCTATCATAGATATCAGATCGTATTTAATTACCTTA